AAATCGAATCTTTCTAATATTTTTTGCTTGATAAAGCATTATTAACAATGATGTAACTGGGCAATGGCACGACTAATTTTCGATTTAAAACTTGATTTACATTTGAAAGTCGAAAAATTGGCTGTTAGTGTTAATGTGTGTAGTAAGTACATTACTTTATATACATGTAACTTTGCAACACACCAAGAGGCAAGAGAGTGTGTCGTACATTCCCGCACAGAGTTAGCAAAATTATTCAACCATCGATTTATAGGAATTTGTTAGACCGTGGATAAAGTTAAGCTTTAACTTAAGGTAACCTTACATTAGAATTTAGATTCAGGATACCTTCCGGTATAATTTTAGTTTTTTACACTACTTAGGCCTAAACGAACAATAGTCCTACGTTAACTTGACTTAAATTCACCAAGTAAGCAATGTTTTTAGCAGTATAACACCTATATTTTTGAATGAAGTTTAAAACTATACGTAATTAATCCAAAAAGTATACAAGTTGCACATACCTAATACTAAAAGAAATGTTTCTCAAAAATGTTAAACTTAAATTCGTACTATTCCCCCTAATTAGCACGACAAAGAGCCATCTACGCCTCTTCCCAATAAATGCAAGTGAAATTACTGTCTATTAATTTATTTTTCTAAAACATAATAAAATCAAATGTGTGAACAGATTACATAAATATAGATAGCTTACAGATATATATTAAAAATTAACATATATATCAAAACAACATTTGAAATTGACTGCTATTAGTGAAATCCCTCTGATGGTAAATTACTAAATATAAAATGTATGTTCATGATGTTAGAAAAACACGTAAGTTCAAGAAGTCTTGATAGAAATTTAACAAAAAAACCTCTAACCCGAGCGCTTTAAAACGTTTGCCCCTGAAGAAGAAAGGTCCACCTTTCGAAAGCGCTCGGGTTGTTGGGTTTTTATTCATTTCTATAAGATATACGTGTGATTTTCAAGTACACTTATTTTCAAATAACAGTAGTAAATCTGAGTTCTCTAACTTCAACTAAGTTTTTAAAATGAGACCAGAAATAATGTAAACAAAGTGAAAAATTAATCTATTTGTTCAAATCAATCAAAGAGATGAGTAGACAAGACAAGCGACAGAGCTTTTCTGGATTTAGCTGGAAATTAAGCTAAACTGAATTGAAGACTGTAGACTAAGAGACTGTTACTTACACCTTCCAGACTAAGAGAACGTGGCATTATATATACAGTTCTGTGATGTCATCCTTCTTAGCGCACACATGTCACCCACATCAATGATGGACATTACAATAGCATTTATCATGAATAACCTATAAGCACTCATGAATAATCAAATCCCAGGATACGAGTTTTTGGTGTCCAAGTGTTTAGGCAAAATTAGGTAATAAAACAAAATGGCCAATGTAGTGAACTCTGTCCCTTTACAAGGAAAATACATTCTTTGACCTGCTTTTCTAGAGTTAACCGTCGATAAGCATAATGTGGAACAGCTGAAGTAATGTTCAGAGTACAAAAGACTTATAAAATTAAGCAGAAAAAGCTATACATAAAAAGGCATGTCAATTTATGCAGAGTATTTTTGAATATGGACGTCACATCAATGATGATATCACTATAACCTAAATTGAGAAATCTTTAGAACTAAGAAAAATTGAGAATCATGTAATACTGCAGAAACGGTCATCCTTTCCGCTCCTCATGAAATAACTTACATGTGCTTTAATATTCATAGACACTGACAACTTTTCTGCATTTAATCTTATTTTAAGGAAGAGCGACTGTTTATCAACAAAACATACAGACAGTAAGGGACCATTTGGCCAATATGGCTGTTCTTACATACTCACCTTCTAGAAAAGCAAAAATTATAATAGTACTTATAATATTTCTTAAATTTTTAGCATTCGATTTCTGTTCATCATTATTTACAACAGATTGATCTTATTTCGTTAACCAAACATAGTTGTATAGTCATAAGACAATGTAATACTTTCAAGTTAATATTTTTAATGTTACTAATTTGTAAAAACTGCCCCTCTTCTTTGTCAAACAAGCTTAAGACTCATCAAAAATTGCTTAGTAATGAGATGAGTTAGTTGAATTGTTATGGAACTTAAGGCGTTCAGATTTTGAAATGATAAAACTGGAATACACTTAGATATTCAGATCTTAAAAATGGGACCCATCTTTTTTTTAGGGAAACTATGAGCAATCAATTATGTAAATAATTAGTATCATTAAATGGAAAGGATATATTTACTTATATTATTGCTGGTTCAGGTACCTCTCTCACGAATGACGTTTTTTAAGCAACTTCTTAATGGCCAGTCATTTTTGTTCACCATTAAGTAACTTTTAAATAAATATTTGACGGCTTAAAAACCGAACATCAGCTGTGAAGAGCACCTGCCATTTGGATTCAACTGTCTCTTTGTTTTGGCGGGTGCAAAATCACGTGCTTAATGATGTATGAAATAATATCATGTCCTCTGCTGCAACCTGCATTATAGTGAACTTCAGAGGAAGCAGCAAAGACTATGCTGAATCATTCCAAGCTGTGTTATAATTTCCATAGCCAATTTGTTAGTCTTGACACAAGTGACTGGAATTAACATTTGCTGTACGTGATAATGGCTTATGGAGCAACAGAACAGAGATCAACAGGCTATTCGGAAAAGAAATACTTCTTCTTGTTGATATCATGTGTGGTCTTCCCTCACGAGAAGATAACCATCAATGTTCACAGGAATACGTGGAGTGGCTGAGGTCTATGATGACCAAGACATACATGAGTTTGCCCATCAACAACTAGGGAAGGTCACTTGATTACAGAAGAAGTGTTAAACTAGACAGTAAAAGAATGTGTGTTCTAGTGTGGAGATTTGGTCTGGTTGTGAAACATGCTGGAAAGCAGTTTGGATCCGGATCGATTGGCCTGTACCCGATATTCCGAAAGATTGGACTATTAATATATTGGTTACACTGGACACTAGGCTCACAAAAACTCATGCAACACATAAATAAGCTGTACCCGTACCTCACAGTTGAGCTTTTGGTGTACTGGCTTGACCAGGAGTGGAGGATGAAATTAATGAGTCAGCGAAAGACTAGAACGCAGTCTCGAATCATGCCAGCTCAACTGACGAAGAAGAAAGAGCTTAAAAACTTATCTGGCAGTCCATGATGAACCGGATGAAGGGTTGCCAAAGACGAGGATAATTTCCCCAATTAAACACGATGCAAGCATTGGTGAAGGCTAACGGTCAGCATCACTTGACTTGAGTCAGTTTGAGTGTGAAGGAACCAGATTCAGTCTCGACCGCATTCATTCTTACTGAAATTGGGCATTGTCTACATAACAACCAGGTGGTAGGAAGAAAATGAGGTCTTGGTGAGAGAGTATGGCATGTGTTATAGGTTTATAGCAGAGACAATAGGAAGTAGTTTGACTGCAGGTAGTAGGATAATTATATATCCCCAGAAGCCTGGTGATCAGGAAATTCTCAAGTGCTCGGAATACGTTTTTCTGGTCAATAAAAAACTGATAGAAATGTCATTTGACCAGTCAAAGTTCATGGGTGTAGTGTGCATTTCGAGTGCCCGTTTAACCTACGCACATGGCTGAATTTTTTACCAATTATAATTTATCCAACCTTGTCTTTGAATCTGGTCTTTTGGTATTTCAGGTCAAATTGTAGTATCAGACAGTCTCTCTTTGACTAGCCAGTGTTTCTCCTGTTTTGTTCATTTAAATCATGATTATGAAGCCTTCCCTTGTTTAGCATTGACTCATCAAAGTTACCATCCTATGAAACTACTGAGTTCCTGCAGGATGCATTAGACTTCTTCCTCAGTAAATAAACCAATGAATCCACATAATTTATGACATCTGGCACTGGTCTGACATTTACCATAGCCAAGCCCATGAATGAAGATTCATTGCATGAAAAACTTGCTATCTATCATTGGGCTAGCCTTGCAGTCTCCAGGGTCTGAGCAGCCATCTTCAACTGCGAAGAATTTCACCAATGCTGGAGATACTGGCACTCCTGTCTCAGGGGACTCGGTGATGGCAATGCCCATCATGTTATAGGAGGAACAAAGCCATTTGGTTGCCCAGCAGCTAATTTCACCATTATTACTTATGCTGTCTAAGGAACAAGTGAAGTCTGAAACCTGGGACCTAGTGGCATGTTCAATAGGAAGGTGTGATGGCACCAGATGTATTTTAATCTCTGATGAGACCTACCTAAGAGGACCTTTCCAGCACTTGGATCTTCTTAATGGTCAACCAAGACCCAGGGAGGCAAAGGCGAACACAAACACGTCGGAACACCAACCACAGCAACACCTTTGATGGCAATTAAGATGAGCCAGCCAGCTTTTTGACTATTTTTTCTGATATAAACTGATTATTAATATTACTGTCATGAAAAAATGGGGGTCTTGAGATTTCACCGGAGATGATTTCACAAGTAAATGTTTTCATTTAGTGTGAAATCTAAAAGCTTTGTTTGGAGAAAGTTGAGGTATAACCACAGGACCAGTAGCACATGTCAAAAAAATTGTCATAAGGGCCTCTCGATTACATACTATCAATTAAGCACTGCTTGAAATCGAGCTGGCCAAGGAACAGCATTCTTTAACATAAAATTAAACCTAATTAAGCCATGGACAACTTTGCTTTAGTAAATAACACACTGATGGGTTATCTTCCAGCTTTAGGGCTATTTAAAGTCTGGAAAATTCAGAACCCTAGTTGGGTTAGCTTATCAATTGGAAGTAACTAACTTCAGCTTAAGTAACTACATTGGTAAATAATACAAAAATAAGGCGAACATAAATATTACTAAGAAAGATAATATAAATAAAAAATCAACTGATGTCTTTAATACTCTCCTCAATAACTCAAGTCTCTCAGACCTACTTTCTACCATTCTCTATCACAAAACTTGACTGAGGTTACAGGAATGGCAGTTAAGTTTATGTAATTTTAGTCTGTTTCTTTTTTATATGATGTTGCTTTCTAGTGATATAATACATCATATAAAGTTATTTTTTGCTTGTGCATATCGTATATTTTCTGCAGTGCCATAGAATTTTCAAAAAATGAGGAAATGTAATTCTTTCTGTCTCTTTTTGTTTTTGAAAAACTAGATGGGGTAAACATATGTTTGTTGTAAGAATACAATTACTTTAACAAAAGCAAAAAAAAACATCTATTCTTCTCGAATCTACTCTGTTGCACTCCAGGTCGGCTAGCTTTATTACACCGTCTGCTCATTTATGTTGGTACTTGAAGTCTAATCTCTGGTATTGTAATTGTCACATAATGAATGGCGAATTGTTGGTGTTAGACTGTGAATCTATTTGAAGCTAGTATAACCTAACATCCATGTTCCCACATGAAGTTAACTCCGAATATGTATTTTTCCTGAATGTCAAGTAACTGGAACCATAGAACCAGTACTGATGAACATAATGTAAGGCTTCCCACCAAGGAATCCATTAACTCGTGGACTAGTTTCCTTAAAGAATAAACTTCTTTTATTAATTGGGTAGATGGAGTATTCTCAACTTTAAGC